TAACGTGATCAGCTTCCTGTCCTGATATAAGATTTTAAACATTTTTATACTTTTGCAAAAACAAACAAAAAGCATAAATGCTGAGGTCTTTTAAGGTTCCCATCAGATAGCAAAGAGCTAAAAGCGAGAAATTGCTGGTAGCATTCTGCTGTTGTTAAAGCAGCAATAGCTAGCTATGTTGTTGAACACAAATTTTTAATTAAGGCCTGAAGTAATTTATGAGTTGTTTTTCACCTGATCAGGAGAGGGAGATTTTATCAAACATGAATGACAGATGTCAGGGCACTGGATTAAAAACATTTCCTAGCCATTTCTAGTTGAGGTAAATTTATGTCACATTTAGTTTATCACTGATAACAAAAATTAAACTTTGCTTAATCTTCTTTCTGTTTGAAATAAAGGTTTGTTCTTCAGTAGAACTGGACTTGAACCTAAAAAAGTTAATTATTTTTGAATTTATAAATGTTTTATCAAATATAAGCATTATGGCTCTTCATTCTTGATTTTTCAAATTAAAAATGTTTTTGCCTCTGAATGGAGACATATCCCATGTTTTCACGGAGAAGGCTCCTAGGAGTTTAGGTTAGTCTAGAAGAGTGTACACTTCACCTCGTTAATTCTTCTGTACCTTGGAGCTCTTCAGACCACCCTCCGGTGAGAACTATTGCATCAGGTACATATATGCCACATGCCCTTAAAGGTGTTAATTTCAGGTAGAATAAAAAGATGGCGGAATAACAAAATAACTGAGGGCACTATATACATAACTGAGAAAATGGACTGGAAAATGGAGCCCAATGAAGTCTATGATATGTGTCTGGGACAGACAGTTTTGTTTTTATCCATGTCCACATGTTCAAGTCACCTATCAAATATAAATGACAATGAGGAAGCAGTTGAATTTCACAACCTCAGCATGCTCATTTAGTGGCTCCCTAGTCTATTGTACAGTAATTTTTTGATGATAAAGAAATCAATGCCAAAACCATATCCCAGCTGAAGCGTAGAAAAATCTCAGATGGAGAAGACCTAGGAATCCTCCACTAACCAGTGTTAAAACTACTGTGTTGGCCTAATCAATAGTTGGTTCATATACATGTAACAAATCACCTGCAAAATATGAGTATTTTCAGAAACTAATGGAGTAGCATTTCAATTTTAAAATGTCTAACTTTTTTTTCTGCAAACATCTGTTCTTTAAAATGCTCTGATTTTTCTGATGTAGTCTCATGACTATGTGGAATACAAACTTAGAAATGTTTTCCTAAAGCTTCACAAAGCTACTTTGTTCCTGAGCAGAAATGATTAAGTTTTCACAATATTTCTATTTCTGAGTATTGTGTTGGGAAATGAAAGCACGGGAACTACCTACACAGCCACCTTTCTCTCCTCAGTTCCTTGCATCTAGAATGAGCCACGTGACCACACCCTACCAGTGGGATGGAAGTGGAAGCAGTATGTTCCACTTCTGCCCCAAAGAGGTTAAGCAAGCCATGTGCTTCTGCACCTCCTTTTACCACATCTGTGTCAAATGCGCAGGTCCTAGGAGTGGAATTCTCCAAAGATAAAAGAACATGAGGCCCTAAACCATCACTAAGAAGACAGGTACCCATGGAACAGCAGAGACATTGAATTTCAACTAAGTAGGATATCAATTCCTATCCATTTAAGCTACTGAGATTTGTGGATTTATTTGTTAAATTTATTTGCATTCCCTTAATGACTATAACCTATAAAGCTGATTAAAGATCCATTACCTATCTAAGCTTAGATCTCCTTCTTTGTCAGTCAGAAAATTTATTGAATATTGCTATGAAGTTTATAAAATCTAAATCTTGACCTAATTTAAAAAAATTAAAATTATATCCACAAAGTGATTTATTAATTTTCATCATTTTTGAGAAAAGTATCCTGTGATAGATAATTAAAATTATAATATAACTCCCCCAATTGGATTTCATATTTGTTTCTATATTCTAATTATATGCAATATAAATATATAAATTTTCAAATTTTTTGAAGTTCTTTATATTTATTTTAGAATTAAAGTATTCAAAATACGTATTTTATTTATCTAAAGGGAACAAATTTCATATATTTCATACATACAGCTTTAAGAACATAATGATGCTTCCCAAATTAATTTTAAAATAATTTTAGAATTTGATAGGTTAAGAATGCCACATTTGGGGCCAGCAATATGGCACACCATGTTTTGCTACTGCCTGTCACTCCTACATCCCATGTGGGGTCCCAAGTCCCAGCTGTTCCACTTCCAATGCAGCTCCCTGCTGAAGTGCCTGGGAAAGCAGAGAATGATTGCCCATGTGCTTGGGCCACCCAGACGGAGTTCTTGGCCCCTGCTTCAGCCTGGAAGTGTGGACATTTTGTGTCTCAACCAATGGATGGATGATCTTGCTCTCATATGCAAGTGCGCTGTGTGTGTGTGTGTGTGTGTATGTTTATCTCCCTCTCTAATTCGGCCTTTGCCTTTCAATCTAATAAAAAAACAGAATGCCAAATTTATTAAAAATTAATCAAAAGGAAAGTAGGAAGGAAGTATGTAAGTGCTGAAATGGAAGCTTAAACACACAAAATGAGAAAAAGAAGACTTGACATAAAAGATGTTGAAGTGGTGAGAAAATACATTATAAGATGCTGATTTTTTTTAAAAAAAACTTTTATTTGTGGAATACTTATTTAGGGTCTGGGAACTTACCTAGATACTTTACAAATATTAAAATACAGGGGCAGTGTTTGGTATATTAGCTAAAATGTACAACAAAACAAACAATCCAGTTAAGAAATGGACAAAGAACATTAATAGGAATTTTTAAAAAGAGGAAATTCAAATGGCCCACAGACACATGAAAAAATACTCAATATCACTATCTATCAGGGAGATGTAAATCAAAACCTCAATGAGGTTTCTCCTTACCTCAGTTAGTACAGCTCTCATGCAGAAATCAAAATACAACAAAGGCTGATGAGAATGTGGGGAATAAGCACCCTAATACATCTTTGGTGGGAATGCAAACCAGTACAGCCATTGTGGATTACAGTATAAATATTCCTCAGAAATATGAAAATAGATCTATCATATGATCCAACAATCCCACTCCTGGGAATTGACTCAAACAGAATGAAATGAGCATACGAACGGGCTACCTGCAGCCCCCATGGTTACTGCAGCTCAATTCACAGGATACAGAATCATCCAAGATGCCCATCAACCGATGACTGGACAAAGAAAATGTGGTACACACACACACACACACACACACATATATGCATCTATCTATCTATCTATCTATATATAATGTGGTATATATACACTATGGAAAACTACACAGAAGTCATAAAAAATGAAATCCTGTCTTTTGCAATAAAATGGATGCAACTAGAAACCGCTATACTTAGTGAAATAAGCCAGTCACAAAAGGACAAAGAACATGTTTTTCCCTGATCTGTGGTTACTAATAGAGTACAAAAAATTTAATGTATATGAATGAAATTGACATTTTGACTACTGATTATGGTTTACAGCTCTTGTCTCTACTGTTGAGAAACAGTATTTTTTTCTACTTACCATTTGTTGAATTATTTACTTGATGGAGGGTTAAACTTATGATTTTAAAATAAGTTGAAAGTATGTCATTGTAAAATTAAAAGAAATAATAATAAAGGCAGGAGGGGAAGGGTGGGATCATGGGCAGGAGGGAGGGTAGGGTGGGAAGTATCACTAATCTCCTAAATCTGTGTATATGTAATACATAAAATTTGTTCACATTGTACAAATTAAAAGAGAAAAGAAAAAATGATGACAAAAAATCTTCTTTCCTAAAATTGATTTTGAGTAAATTCTACCCACTGACTTAAACTTCAGTAGTCAAATATTTGTCACATAAGCATGATCCATTAGAAGCATGTAAATGCTATATTTTAGATGACCATCTTAAGAAAACAAGCCTTTGTTATTATGAACGAGGAGAGGATACATTCTGAATAGGCTTAATCATGGCTTCCTCAAAATAGAACTTTTGCACATGCATTAGAAGCCATGAAAGGGGCCGGCGCCGTGGCTCAATAGGCTAATCCTCCACCTTGCGGCGCCGGCACACCGGGTTCTAGTCCCGGTTGGGGCACCGGATTCTGTCCCGGTTGCCCCTCTTCCAGGCCAGCTCTCTGCTATGGCCAGGGAGTGCAGTGGAGGATGGCCCAGGTGCTTGGGCCCTGCACCCCATGGGAGACCAGGAAAAGCACCTGGCTCCTGGCTCCTGCCAGGATCAGCGCGGTGCGCCGGCTGCAGCGGCGGCCATTGGAGGGTGAACCAACGGCAAAAGGAAGACCTTTCTCTCTGTCTCTCTCTCTCACTGTCCACTCTGCCTGTCAAAAAAAAAAAAAAAAAAAAAAAAGCCATGAAAGGAATCCTTGAGGAAGAAGGATGGTATTAATCACCTGTGTACCATCAGCGATCAGCAAATAGAACACAGTCAAAATAAAATACATGATAAATTTATCTATTATATTAAGAACACCAGAAGAACATTTATTTGTATGTGCTATAACCATGACCTCAGCTCATACTATTCTTTTACTTTCTATTATAAACCTGTTCTCATACAGTCATAAATTTTGTCAGAAGACCCACTTTTAAGCCTGCATTTTAACACTTTTTATGTTCATTCTCGGCTGAGCAACATAAGGCATGCTACAGAATCTCTCTGAAGTATATTTTTCTCACTTACACACCAGGAAGTTAAGACTTACCTAAAAGGGATGTGAAATAATTACAAATGAATGTATCTATAAAATTCTTTTAAAAATGCCTAACACCTAGTTAGTGAATAGTCATTTTTATTTTAAGCATTATTCCTACATCAGAGAAGATATTCGTCTTTTACTACTCAATTTTTGGCTCAAAATTTTTGACTGAGAATAAAATATTTAGCTATTATTCTTGTTTACAAAATCCCAGGTGGATGACAAATTGTATTTACCATTCCTGATATTTCTTCTCTTGTAAAGGCAGCTCTCCATAGCAGAATGCTGGCCAACTTTCAGAAGCATCTTGTCCATTCTCCTTCATGCAAAAGCCGATGAAATACCTACAACTCAGAGTAAATATGTCAACTATATAGCCCACAGGATCTCAAATTAATCACAAAAAGGTCCATTATTTTAAAATTTCTATTTTAAAAAATCATATTTAATTACTTATTTAAATCTCACATGCTGGAATTTCAACTTATTTGCTCTTTGTGTATTCTTAGTGGAGCAAGTAAACTACTACTCTCACTGTTGGAGACAGAAAACAAAACCATCATTTGGATAAAACAAAAAAATTAAATTATGATGATCTTAATTTTGCATATAAAGAGTTGAAATGCATATTAGTAGGAAACTAATGGCTATCTTTCCAATGTTTAAAGTTTTAAGAAAGGTTTTAGTCACTGACTTCATAAAATGTCTGAAGTTACTAAACAAACACCAATAAAAATAAATTCACCTGGTAGAAAGAGTAGAAATAACCTTTCCTATTAGGATAGGAGAGTCAGCAATCCTTGAAAACTTATTCATCCTCTTGGACCCAGGGGATGCTCAGGTAATTGAAAAAGAACTCAGTAATACTGGGTTTCTACTGGGTCAGCAATGCTGCATTTATGGAAACATTGAAACTGTAGTTAAACAATCGTGGCGCACTGCTTAGTGAGCATAAATATAATGGAAGTGCTTTTAAAGATTTTTTGTCATGCGTTTACACAAAATGAAGGAGAATTTAATGTAATGTTTAGGAATAATAATTTACCATTTAATTTATATATTTGCTTACTGCCATAAAATCAAGCTAATCAATTTAGCTCTAGGCAATGTAATCTATTTTTCATAATTTTGAATAACCTTTTTATTTTCCAAAATGCATTTTAATATATGAGTTACGTTAATTGATATCCATGTGATTAATCATAGCAGAGCTCTAGACATTTGTTAGCTTTGGAGACATTCTGCAGCAAAACAAGAAATTCATTATTGGGTGTTTGCTTCTAACCATCATGAGTGTTTGTGTTCCAAATACATTTTTAATGGAATTACTGAGAAAGAATCACTAGTGTCTAAAGATTAAAAAATGGAGGGCTTTAAGAGTGACATTTATTAAAAAAATAAACAGGTAGGTGTGGGGAGCGGGGCCCTGTGGGGAGCAGGGCCCGTCTCCTGCAACATGGCGAAATAAGTATTGAGACTGAGACTAGACTAGACTACTGAGACTATTAAGACTAACTCTATGCGCCTGATCTCCCACCATATGGCGCTGAGAGGGAGTAAACAAATCTTACACAGCTGCTTCGTTAATTAGCTGATTCCTGATCCAACCTCTGATTGGAGGAGAACAGCGTGCTCAGCACGTGGGCAGCAGAGCAGGGATTGGTAGGAGAGGACTATAAAGGCGAGACAGAAGTGGCGCGGGGCGGGACGGGGGATTTGTTTGTGCGCCACAGACATCTCACACCAAGCGCCAAAAGAATAACAAGAATGCGGACACACACCAAGTGGAATGCGGTTAGAATGTAGTTAGCACAGGAGCGAACTTGACCGCACAACGCAGAGTCATTCACTTAAACAACAGCGTCTGGTCCGGTGTCGGTCTCCAGGTAGCTCACGGAGGAGCGACAGGTAGGAAGAGAAGGAGGTGAAAGCATGAAAAAATAACAAAATATGGAAGCAGAAAATGAGTGAAAAACTATGCAGTATGCAGGAATTTCCTATGCCTAGGAGTGATGAGGAAGGGGACAAAACAAGTGACAGAAGAAACAAATGCATTTATGAATTACATTACATCTTTTCCCTTTCTAAAAATAAAACATGTAAGAAAAATAAATAACTACAAAAGAGAAACATATCGTAAAGTTAAACAACATTCCTCTATGGGTTAAAACTTCAAGGAATGATGGTCAGTATGTATGTGGTTTACAGTTTAGAATGGAGCAGAATGTGTAGAGCTGAGTATAAGTGAGTTGCTGGTGAACTTTGTGAGGATACTTTTCATAAAAGAGAATATCACATAGGCCAATGAAGATCAAAGGCAAAAACTATCAGAGCTGTTAGAAGGCTCCTAGAGGTGACAATCACACAAAGTACAGTCTTAAAAGCTGAAGTTAGGGTTGTGGTGACAACTGTAGAGAGACATTGAAAAACAATTTACCTGTAGGAAAAAGAACTGGGAAAGTTTATCTGCTTATCAGAGAGCTGTTGTGGTTTGAGTCTGTGACGGTTACCTTTGCATGTCATTTTGACTGAGCCACAGGATGCCCAAATATTTGGTTAAACATTCTGGGCATTTCTGTGATGGTGTTTCTAGATAAGATTAATGTTTTAAAAACAGTAAATGGAGGGCCGGCGCCATGGCTCACTTGGTTGATCCTCCGCCTGTGGCACTAGCATCCCATATGGGCACAAGGTTCTAGTCCCGGATGCTCCTCTTCCAGTCCAGCTCTCTGCTGTGGCCCGGAAGGGCAGTGGAGTATGGCCCAGGTACTTGGGTCCCTGCAACCACGTGGGAGACCAGGAGGAAGCACCTGGCTCCTGGCTTCAGATCGGCGTAGCTCTGGACATAGCGGCCATCTGGGGAGTGAACCAACGGAAGGAAGACCTTTCTCTCTGTCTGTCTGTCTCTCTCTCTCTCTCTCTCTAACTCTATCTGTAAAATTAAGAAAAAAAAAAAAACTGAACAGAACAGATTATGCTCCCTAATGTGGGTGGGCCTCACCCAGTCCATGGCACAACTGAATAGATCAGAATGATACAATAAGATAAAATTTCCTGTCTTGGAACCTCTGCCTTTTCTTCCTTTTGGAATCAAGGTGGAAGTGTCATCATTTCTACTGGGTCTCCAGCTTGCCAACTGCAGATCCAGGGACCTCTTGTCCTCCATAACTATTTGAGTCAATTCCTTACATAATAAATCTCTTTATATTTGCATTGTGCATATGTGTGCATGTGTTCTCTGAAAGCACAGATTAATACAGATTTTAGATTTTGGTCTGAGAATAATTCAACAAGAACTGAATTGTAAGGATGAGTTATCTGAATTAGTTCCTCAGTTTCTGGAATTAGCTCTCTACTCTGATTAGATTTAAAGACATTAATCACTCTAATTCCAATAATAAAGAGAATACTTGTAGTCAGTGGTATGATATGGCAACAGCCAGAGCAAAATATCTATGTTGGATATTCACAATCACCCACATATAAAAAACAAGGAGCTGTGAGACACATAGATGACAGATATGATATACATATATATATATGATATTCATTTATATCATATATATGCATGATCCATATACATACACATATATACATATATATATATATGGCACTTTCAAACATTTTTGGAAGAGTAATTAACAAGGTTTGCTGATTGCTCCTAATGCTACTGTGCAAAGTAGTAAATGAAAAGGCTGATCTCAAGAATTTTAGCTCCCAGTATAAGTTCTGCATACGTGACATGAAAGAGTTTGTGTGTGCATTGAAGAATATTTATTTCCTGTAGCCACAGGGCTAAAACTGTTTAAAAAATCAAAAGCAGAACCCCATCTTACAACTGGTCAACTTACAACACAAGTTGAACTCTCAGGCTTACAAGGTGAAGTTACTCATTAGGAAATAAGGGATGTCTGTAGACTGGAATAGGGATATGTTGGAAGACCCTAACAGACTGGGGCAGTTGGATCTCTAAATTTTAAGGGATCTTCTTTGTCAGTGGAACCCTAATGAAAACGGCCCATCTACTCCCACCTCAGGGAATTAACTCATTTCCTGAGAAAAACATAATATCCTGTTCCAAGGCACTTGCCATGCAAGACGACTGATTCCTGATTCTCCTCAGGACCCGTCCCCACAAGCCCTCTTTGCTTTCTGACCTATAACTAGACTAAATCCAGACATGACCTAAAAGGTAAGATACAAAGACAGACACTTCAGGAGGTACATAGCACTATGCAAGAACTACAGCCATGTGCCTCATGTCATTATTTTGCCCAACCACACACCTCATATACAAGATTATATGGCCTAGTGATGCCTTAGCCTACTCAGTTTTTGTAAGCATACTCTATGACGTTCATACAATAATGAAATCACTTTATTATAGATTTCTCTTAATACATCCCTCTTTTTAAGTGGTGTATGGCTATACATGAATTTTCTAATATAGAGAAACAAAAATATAGGGGATGTGTATAGGGATGGATGTTAATGAGGTGGGATAATGGTGCAAGGAACATAAAGTTGTATAAAGCTGAGGTTATTGATTTTGGCTCACTAAGCAGAAATTCTGCATTTAATGTTGCATTTTAGGGAGGCAGAAAGGGCTCAATAGTTTGGCTGACTGAAACACGGAACAAAAGGTAATATATAGTGAGCAAATAAATGCTGGATCTGGCTGGGTTTCATATGAAAGTGATTCAAAGTCTTAGGCATATTGGTTTGTTAGAGTGGATTTGACACTTAAGACCTACATATCCACTATGGAAGGGTGCAGAAAACATCTTTCACAACTTCTGTAAGAAAAATAATTTATGAAGGGAAACTTGGCATCACTAAAGATCTCTGTGATTGTACTTTTGTCTAAATGGGACCTCATTGTGTGGACTGAAGTCACTGAAGTGTAATACTTAAATGCTACAGGAGTAACTATATTGTGGAGTGACATAGGTCAAATAGTATCATTCAATCACAAATACAATGTGGGTATGGTTAGTATAATGGATTCCAAAGTCAAAGGAGCAATCAGAATAGCCAGACTAATGCAGATCTATGCTGTTGACTAGTTGATTTGGTATACCTAGAGGGGAAATAGCTAGGAAGTCCTACTTGATCTGTATAAGCTGAAAAATTCTAGGTCAAGTGAACAAAATCTAACCTGAATAATGAAAAGAAAGTCACATATTTCCCCAAATTGAGCAATTCTGTCAATTCAGAATCCCCTGAATGGGGGTAGGGGCAGTGCTGTGGTATAGTGGGCAAAGCCAGATATGTGGTACCAGTATCCCATATGGGCACTACTTTGAGTCTTGGCTTCTCCACTTCATATCCACTCTCTGCTAGTACACCTTGGAAAGCAGAGGAAGACATCCCAACTACCTGGGCCCCTGCACCAATGTGGGAGACCTGGAGGAAGCTCTGATCTGTTCTTTTCTGATCTAGAAAAAATGATGCTGAAATTCATGTGGAAGCACAGGATAGCTTAAATAGCTAAAGCAACCTTATACAACAAAAACCAAGCTGGCAGCATCAAAATACCAGATTTCAAGACATATACAAGGCAGTTATAATCAAAACAGCCTGGTACTGGTATAAAAAGAAAATTGGCAGACCAATGGAACAGAACAGATACACCAGAAATCAATCCAAGCATCTACAACCAACATATATTGGACTAAGGAGGTAAAAACCAATCCCTGGAGCAAGGACAGTCTCTTCAATAAATGGTTCTGGGAAAACTAGATTTGTATATGCATAAGTATGAAGCAGGGCCTCTGCCTTATACCTTACAAAAAAACTCATTCAATTGGATTAAAGACCTAAATCTACAACCTGATACCTTCAAATTATTAGAGAGCATTGAGGAAACACTGCAAGACATTTGAACAGGCAAATAGTTACTGGAAAAGATCCCAGAGGCACATACAATAAAAGCCAAAATTAACAAATCGAATTACATCAAATTGAGAAGCTTCTGTCCTACAAAAGAAACAGTCAGGAAATTAAAGGGGCAACTGACAGAATG